TAGTCTACCAAGAGACATTGTTTAACCATTAAAAATTATATTTTTTGGTTAAGGAATAGTACTTGTAGCAAATCAAAAAAGTATTCACTGATGCCTAAAACCAAATTTATTAATGTAATAATCCAGAAAACTCCAATGCACCAAAATCTTTCTTTTTCCTTAAACAGAGGCGTTTCAGAAAGGAAAGGGAAACCCACCTGTCGGCCATGGTGGCGATGGTGCGGAAGGCAAGAATGAGAGAGCGATCGGGGTTGGAGCCACGGTTCTGCCACCGCCCTAGTGAAGAGGAGAGGAACTCTCCCTGAGCACCGTTGGGCTTAGCGATGACGGTTGAAAGGCCCCCGTCCGTGAGGAGGGGATTAGTAGGCCCGCCGACACGGACGGGATCGTTGTCGGCGGATTCGTTAGCAAAGGTCCTCCATTCCGACGTCTCGTCAATGGAGTGCGCCTCAAGCACCAGCCCGCACTCGGAACACACCGTGTCCCCCGCAGAGTGATCGAAGACGACCTCCGTGCTCCTCTTGCACTCTGGACAGAACGCGTCCGACATTTCACTTCCCTCCTATAACCTCTTCTTCCTGCCGCCAATGATCTTTACCCTTCTCTCTCTTCCCTTCCTCTTTATCCAATCCGACCGTATCACAAATCGCGGCCTCCGGTAGCCCTTTGACCGACAATCAGCCCACCTTTTCCTGCTCCACCGATCGCCGTCCGCGAAAATCTCCTCTTCCCTCAGATCAGAAAGCCAGATCGTGGGCGATTCTACCTCGATTTCTGGTTGGTATGGGTACTCTTGACTTGGCTTTGAGGTTGTTCGGACCTCAGACTCGGTTAATCGCAATTTATAAGTACTTATAGCAATCATTCACGTAAATTTCTTTGTTACCTTTTTTACCTTTAAATTATATGATGCATATCACATACCTCACAATTATTACATATATTTGCATAACTAATTAATACTTAAACCGCCTTATTAACATATCTAATTCTTTGACCCCACATCAAATATTATAAATAGGGGTGTAAACGAGCCAAGTTTAATTGTGTTAAGCTTATTTGAATTTTTATTTGTTCATGTTCTGCTTGCGTTTGAAATAGCTCATTAACAAATTGTTCGTGTTCAACTTGATTTAATGCTTGTTCTTTGAATTAATAGATACAAAGCTAGTTTTGTATTTTTCATTCTCTTTACTACATGTAAATATGACTAAAAAAAGTTGGGCATAAATGCCTCCAATTAGTGTGTCTACACGCCTTTTCTTTTTTATTTAGATTTTTTTTTTCTTGGGATTATTATGATAGCTATAAATTTCCCACTTTTTTTTAATGAAAACATCATTCTTTGGTAATTATAAAGTATTTGAGTTAACTTAATTGGTTTAAGAGCTTAGTGGTCAAATCCATTATATTCTTGATGCTTTTGTTAGTTATCCAACTTCACTTCATTTTCTTTCGACTTCAACACCTAAGATAACATTTTATTTTTCTCTGCACTCTTTAAAAGTATTTCAAATCATTTTCTAAACCTCTAAGTTCCTTACATAGACTTATACATTTATGTTATTCATATGCTCCTCCTCGTTTTTCCTAGGAAATAAAATCTTATTAATAAAAAAGAAATTTATAAGGAAAGGAATTAGAGCTAATACACCAAAAAAAAGACCACTCATAAAAAACCTAAGGGTTTTAATTCCAACAAAAAAGAATACATACAGTATAGGTTTCACTCAGAAATCCCAAAAGATGAAGCACAAAAAAAAACAGAGAGTAGAAATGGAAGTAGAAATGGAATAAGAGCTGGAAACGAAGAAAAACTCAAAAAATTCCATTCGAAATGATCTTTCTGAAGTTCAAAAAAGCATCTAAGAACATAAACAAGCACCAGAATGTCCTGAGGATCTTGATATGAACCTCACTGAAGGGTTAAATAACATGAAGCTAAAGATCATGATCATCCAATAGAAAGAAAACATTGCAAAGATAGTCCAATCTGAGTGGCTAAACACCTACATAATATAAAATGGAGCAAAAAAATCCAGAAAATAACATCAGAAACTGCCCAATAGTAAAAAGTTACAGAAAAGATCATGGTCATCTAACATAAAGAAACCACCAAAGAGATAGTCCAACCAAAAAGGCTAAACACCAAAATGGTGCAAAAACTTCATACAAAAGTGCAACAGAAATAGCTCAATAGTAAAATGTTGTAGAAAAGAAAAAACAACATCAGTATTAGGAGATAAAAGAACAAGGACATATAAATCACAACTAGTAAGGATAAAAAAAAAAAACATAAGAATTAGGCGCTTTTACTAAACATGCATTTGTAAATTAACAACCATATTATGAGATAAGAATACCAATAAAAATTAAGAAAAAATACTAGTAAACAAAAAAGGGACAAAAAGTATGTATTGTGTAGAGAATTTAAAGTAAAATAAGACAAATATGTGTCGGCACTATTTTTTGTGTGGGGTTTGCCCGTAAGAAGCTGTAGGTCATCGGAATTGAAATCCCGTTGCAAATCAAACAAAAATAATGAATTATGAGGCAAAATAGTATAAAAAAACAAAAAAATCTAACATTCACCCAATATATAAAAGGGACTTGTAAATCACAAAAATCAGTAAATAGTAGACAAAACACGGTTAGACACGAAATAATATAAAGTAATAATTATGATAATAAGTATAATAATAAAACCAAGAGTTCGAGCACTAAGAGAGATATTTAAGCACAAATTTGACATGTTAATGCACAAACAACTGTCTGTTTCTTTAGTTTAATTTTGAAATTAATATTCAATTTAATATACATATAATTTTTATTTTTGAATAATTTTTCAATTTTGAAAATGAGACCAAAAAGATCTCACACATTTAATGGTTTAAATTACCAGCACCACACCACAACCAATGCTTCTATCCTGAGGAATAGACATATTTTTTGTTAGTGGGGCTCAATTATGCAAGCCAAAAAAAATCATGACATTTATTTTGTCTGCAAACCTCCTCCAAGTGGCGGTTTGAGCTGTGGTCGGGCCTAGATATGTTTTAGACGAAAGGGTGACTCAGGCTTGTTCTTGAACTATGGTAGAGTGCTCGGGAGAGGGGGCTTTATATTGAGGAAGTGGTTTTGAGGTATGGTGAAGCTTATGGGATGATTAATTCCAAGGCCGAGAAATACCCTAGATTTCAGTGGTGAACTTGAGCTCTGGTAGTGGAAATGATTAGTTGAGGATGGTGGGATTGAATTTAGGATCATTGTGAGAAGCTCTGGAAGCAATTTGACAGAGTTTCCCCAAAGTTTTCGATGCTCTTTCATTTTGGTTGTGAAGGTGGCCAATTTATAAGCTCAGCCAAGGGGGAGGATCTGGGCTGTCATTGGCCGGTGCAAGTTATCTTAGGTGAAGGGGAAATCAACACAATTCACCAATTAGGGATTGCCACATTGGATGGGTGAAATTTTGTGTTAGAGTCAAGGTAGGGGTTCTTGGTTTGCATTTTTCGACAACTAGAATGGCGGTTAAGCGAGGGGTGGTGGCTAGTTGGATCAGGGAGGTGAGGAGGATTAATGGTGATAAGCTTCGGACTTAGGAAGGCTGGTCGCATGGGTTATTGGGTTTAAGCAAAAGTGGGAGTGGTGTTTGCTTAAATTGGGGAACCATTGGTCCACGACTTAAAGTTGGGTTGGCTTAGTGATGTGGTCAGCATCTTAGGGTTTAGGGAGTGGTTGAGATAATTAGATATTTAATTAAACCAAAGGATTTGAGTTAGATTTTTTATTTAGGCTTAAAATTGGGCTTTGGTTGGATTTGAATTTTGGGCTTAATTGGTGTGGACCTGAGCCAACTGAAAGCTCAAATGAGACTTGAAATTTGTCGTGACGAATTTGGGATATGTATTTTGTGACATTGGGTTGATTATGTGGCTCAATTTGGTGAAAAACTGGATTTGGGGTTAATTTGGGGTGGTTGGCATGAATATGAAATTTTGGTTTGGAATTTGATATAATTGGGTTTGAATTTAATTATACTTGGGCTTGAATTAAATAAAATTGAGTTTGGATTTGAAATTGGATGAATTTGAAATGAATTTGATGAAAATTGGGGGTAATTTGGGAATTTAGGAATTTGGGAGTTTCGGCCAATTTTGGTAGATTTGGGGAATTTTGGGTGCAATTGGGGGAATTTGTGACTAGAATGGGTTTTAGTGAAGTTTTTTAGTGAAATTGGGGATTTTGGCAATTTTTTGAAATTAGGGGCATTTTGGTAATTTTTGGAAAATTTTGGGGTAGAAGGCCAAGGTTAGGTATTTTGGTGGAATTGAAATTGGTTGGATATGATGATCATGTCAGCCATGAAGCCATCTCCTAAAACCAAGAAATCATAGGAGAACTCATTTTGGATTCTCCACATTTTGATCCTAACCATCTTAGCCAAAGGCTAAGGGCTTGGGACCACCCACATGACTTTCTAAAAGGAAGTTAGGAGGTAGAACAAGTATGAGTGATTTTAGGGTTTTTTTTGGACGGTGTGAGTTTGATGGGTTTGAGTGTGTATGTGGTCAAGACCAAGCCACCCAGGGTTGCTCTAAGGTTCTTCTAAATCTATTAGAACTCATTCTTGAGTCTTCATATGTTGATATTAGCCATCTAAGGTGAGAAATGAGCTTGGACTCACTCGTGTTTGACTCATTTACACCCTTATTGATGTATATCTCTTTCTCTCTCTTCAATTCTCTCTCCAACTCTCTCTCTCTCTTTCTCTCACTCTTTGAATAGATTTTTCTCTCAGTAGGATTTAGTTATCTTTCTAATCTCAGCATTGAATCTTATCTCATGCCAAAATCTTTTCTCCCTCAATTGAGTATAGGATAATAGGAAAGTTAACTCATTAAATGACGTGCTCAATGTCCAACAACATTCATAGTCACCTATAGAAAGATAAATGTGCAACCATGTAATAAGAATTAAGATTCAAATCATTTGGGGGTGAAATTGGATTATGTTTGACTAATTGAACCTTTTCTGACTGGAATAATAGAGTGTGGCCTAAAGTCTAGGGTACTCAAGTTATTTTTGGATTAACAGCAGTTTATTAAGCTAGGTATAACCATAGGTTTGAATAGATTAAAGCTAGTTTGTCCACGTAAAATTATGCTTAACCTTCAATTACTCATATATCTAAATTGGTCCACAAATGGTGTAAGGCACTAATGGGGTATAGTGAGCTCATATAAACTCATGCCAAATCAAGACAATTCAATTTAATATAAATATGGTGCTAGGGGTTTCTGTTATGTTCCTTATGGTCCAAGTGAGTCAAACTAGTGTAAAATGTTTCTATTTGACTATTTTAGGCTATGTAGAGCAGGCACTATATAGAGTAGGTTGACAAGTGCTAATTAGGGCTGATTAGTTGATTATGTATCTATATAAGGTCCCTTTAGTACTAAGTAAGGCAAGCTATGTGTGGTGATAAGTTTAGTCTAAATAAGTAAATATAATATTCTTTTAACTAAGATTAGTGAACTTTAATTCTCATACAGTGTACTTTAAGATTTAAGGATCATATAAGAATAGCTAGAGATTTAAATGAGCATAACCCTTCAACAATGGGTTTAGGTAGTCACTCAATTTTGAGATCAAGAAATGCCTATATTAAGATAATAAACAAATTATTTGATGTTGAATTTAAGAATTTTGGTTAAAATTATAAAAGTAACCTTTTTAAAAAATATAAATAAATATATATTTCTATACATGAAGGAAATTTGGACTTAATTTTAGAAATATCTTAAGACTCGTAGAGCTCAATTTCACTATTTACATTG